GTATGGCCCTGTGAAGTATCCACTCAGTCACTCACACACACGCTTCGTGGGTTTCCTTGCCCAGATGGAGTCGCCTCACTGGGAACCGAAGTACTACCCACTCCACACTCAGTCAGCTACAGATTGCTCTGTACTTTCTCACACATACCAATGCGCAAGATACATTCACCACACACCTCTAGCCTCCCAAACTTTCCCCTTGTTCCCCACCAGACCACCATCTGATGTACCCAACCACCGTAGCGTACCTCACCAGTTTCCCAAGACAGCATCTTAAAAAGCAGAGACATCACCTTGCCAACAAAGGTCCATATAGTAAAAGCATGGTTTTCCCAGTAGTGATGTATGGAAGTGAGAGCTGGACCATAAAGAAGGCTGATCGCCGAAGAATTGATGCTTTTGAATTATGGTGCTGGAGGAGACTCTTGAGAGTCCCATGGACTGCAAGAAGATCAAACCTATCCATTCTTAAGGAAATCAGCCCTGAGTGCTCACTGGAAGGACAGATCGTGAAGCTGAGGCTCCAATACTTTGGCCACCTCATGAGAAGAGAAGACTCCCTGGAAAAGACCCTGATGTTGGGAAAGATGGAGGGCACAAGGAGAAGGGGACGACAGAGGACGAGATGGTTGGACAGTGTTCTCGAAGCTACCAGCATGAGTCTGACCAAACTGCGGGAGGCAGTGGAAGACAGGAGTGCCTGGCGTGCTCTGGTCCATGGGGTCACGAAGAGTCAGACACAACTAAACAACAACAACAAGCAAAATAGAAAACCAACGGGAAAGCAGCAAGGGAACCAATGAGAGAAGCCGGAAGGCGGGCTAAAAAAACCTTAAGGCGTCGCATTGACTGGCCGAGGTGGGAGCTCACTTTTCTAAGTCAGAACAACCAGGGCCCCGGCCAAAAGCAAGCGGGGAAATAACGAAAAGAAACTGCCCGTTTGCGCTCCCGGTTGCCGCCCTCCCCCGTCTCATAAATACGCACCAAAACAGTGGCAGAGTTGATTGCTGGGAGCTTGGCGAAAGCAGCCAACGCCGCCATAATCACAGCGCGACCTCAGGTTTCAAACTGCCGCCAGTACCCTACGTCACCAAAACGTCTTTATACGCGTCGCTGCTATAAAAGGAGGTCGGGGGTGTGGCCTCTAAAGTAGATGCATTGCGGAGTCCGGTCTTATCTGCGCATGCGGAGTTTTGGCTCTTCCCCTGCTGGAGGGAAGAGGGCGCACGCGCGGGCAGCAAACGTTTTCTTTTCTGGTGTCTTATGTAGGGCACTTTGCGTGACGTCATTGCTCGTGAGAGGCTCGTGAGGGAGGGGGCGGGGTGTGAGGCTATAAAGAGAGAGGCTTGCCTTGGGGAGTTAGGAAAAGAGGGAAAGTGGCTTCCTAGCAGCGCCCATTCTAAATAAAATAATAAGCTGGAGGCAAATTTGTAGAAATGTAGCCTCTGGAACGACACTGTTTTTATTTTGTGTGGAGTGGTTCTGCAGCAGTGTTAGGGTTATTATAACCTTTCATGTAAACCTTATAGATGCCTAGGGAATGAACGCTATTGTTTGTTTTAATGATATATCTATTTAATTTTTTTTTTGTCTTCTCAGGGGAGATGTTCAGGGGTTTGTTTGCAACCATCTAGGAAAATTGATTTAATTCGGCTATTTCTTTCCTCTTCCTCTTCTCCTGCCTGGTAACTGGCTAAAAATAGAGATAAAGCAAATGTTCCAAATTATTTTGCTGAAACATTGTATTAAGCCAGCATTTTTCAACCTGCAGGTTGCAAAGCCTGTGCAAAAGGTTAGCAGGCTTTATAAGTAAACCCAAAGTAATTACTGCTTTCGCTCCTTAACTGGTATGATGATAACTCTTAAAACTGTTTTGTTGGCATATTGTGATTTTGTACTTACTCATGTAAGCAAACACTAAAGTGTAAGACTTGAGCATTTCCAACGTTCACTAACATGCGTCAGGACAGCATCGAAATACAACTGGGAACTGGTGATTGGCTGCAGACGAAATGATGGTTTGCCACAACAGGCTCATACAGGGTGTTTTGAGTGACTAGTACGGCTCTTTCTGTGGAGGAAAGTGGCTTTTGTCTCTTTCAAGCATGTCTTGGTTGACAACTTCTGGGTTCTGGGGAGTTCCCACAACACACACACACACACACTTTGTGCATTTAGCTATAGGGGGATCCCAGGGCCACAGTGAGGGGTGCATAGGAGGAACTGCAAGGCAGGAAAGTGAGGAGATGCCCAGATTCCCAAGCCAGTTACTGGTTGAGCAGAGAAAGGAAGAGTTTATACAAATAATAATATGGAAGATCATGGGTGCTGAGAAGAGCAGACAAGACCTTTATCCCATACAGTGTTGGCTTATGCCACTAATGCATATTGGATCCCCCACAACACCCACATTCTTCAGATAGAGCTATCTAGGTCATTCACCACAATATATGAACCAAGGAAGAGCCTTGCTGAATCAGGCCAGTGGCTCATTTAGTCCAGCATCTTGTTCATACAGTGGCCAAGCAGATGCCCGAATGGGAAGTCTGCACGCAGGACCTGAGAGTAAGAGGTTTCTACATTTATTTATGTTGAACAATTTATATACTGCTTATAATTAGACAAACTTCCTTAGCTGTTTCCTTCTCCATACATTTGGACTTGTGGGTTGCCACACCAAAAAAGTTGGAAACTTCCATTATTAAGCCATTTGTGTTGCTCAGATGTTGCCTGCTGAAATATGTGGCCACACTGTGTTTGGACATGAACACTTAACAGTGGCCAATAAGCCATAGAAAAGATATCTAGGTCTCTGATTTAGGTTCTCATGTTCAAACCCTGACAGAATTATGCTAAATGACCTACAAAGAAGGAAAAAAATAATAGTTTTCAGTTTAAGACTTGTGTGTATGTAACTCATGCCATCTCTCCAATAGTTCTGTTCGTTTATATTTAAAATTTGTAATCTGTTATATAGTATTGCTGTGTACACAATGGCTTGCTTTTTGTAATCAGTTTTGAAAATGAAAAATGGAAAGATCAATCCTTTCTCCATATTTCCTATGTCTAAGGAGTTTTTTTATTACTAATATTTATGGAGCAGCAGAACTTTGTAAGCAGATGCTGATAGATAAATGAGCAACTAAACAGGAAAAATACTGACTTCAAGATCAATCAACCTTCTGTGGCTACAAGGACAAACCAATCTAATTTGTTTGCTGTTTCCTTTCATAGTACAACTCAATTTAGCAACATTTTATACTTGGATAACATGTTTCCAACTTGTTCTTCTGCTTGAGGACTTTTTTGTTGTTAATAATAGTCTATTTTACTGTGGAGGGAAGATGATGTAATGGTCTAATACAAAATATGAACAGCATCATGGGCAGTAACTGGTTTTGACCACATCCTGTGTGCTTTCCTTTTTTGAAATACCATAAAGCACAGACCATGCAAAGGCTGTGTGTGTTAATGCAATCTGACATCATTTTAAAAAATCCTAACAAAGGTTGACAGTTCAGCACATTGCCAATGCTAGACAAATTGCAAGTGAAGTGGAAGAACTCTAGAAATATTTTTGTTCCTCATCAGATTCAGTTAGGGTTCATTGAGAATTATTCTGAAATAGGCTCATTGTAAAGGTATGAGAACAAAAAATAAATAAAACATTAAATCACCAGAAACTGCTATTGGGGATTTTAATTTTTTTTTAAGCGCAATGCTACATTTTGGAGATAAAAGAAATTGGGGGATGTCTTCTTTTATCTCCCATTTGTCACTTCTCCATTTATATAAAGCAGTTAGAGCTATTGCCTGAATTGATGCTATTGTGCAATCTAGGTCACAGATTCTAACTAGTCTGAATGCATTTCCCAGTGCTACATATTGATCTTCATCTACAATTTGATATTCATTTAAGGAATTTCAGGCAGACATCACAAGGCACTTTACAAAAGATCATTACAACAATAGTTTTGATTTTTAAAATGTTACAACAAAATGGAGAGGACACCTGCTTCTTTAGAAGGAGCTATAACTACTTCTCTCTTCAGGGCAAGATGTTCTGCAGAAACCCCTGTGGTGAGAGTTGGACTAGCAGTATGTTTGGTAACGTCCAGAAAAAAGCATCACTGGTATTAGCAGCTTACAAGGTGGGATCTCTTATTGAGGCCCAAAGGCTGATAAGGGCTCACCAAACTGGAGGGAAAAAACTGTCATCCCCATTTCACATGGGGCATCCAATAAGATTTTCCCCAGTTTCCCAACCCAGAGCTCATGCTCATACAACACTGCTACATTGCAACACTCCTGACTTTAGTAAGGGAGGAAAAGATAGAAATTCCCTGCATTCTCCAATCCCTTTTCTTGCCAGCATTCTCCATGCCCAACCATATCTTCACTGCTGATTTCCTGTCCTCCATACTCATCTCTCACTCTGTAATGTGGATCATGCCCATAATTTTCTGCCAGGATTATTGCCCTGATTTGTTTGCACTATCTTCGGTTAAAAATATATACTTATACATAACTAGTTGTGTCAAAATATACACAAGGATGGTCAATAAAATAAATATCATAATGCATCCCATTGAAAGCAATGTAGCACCAGATGCAGATCTAATGTGCATTAGTTTATGGGGTGTGGTTCCTGTTCAAGTAAGTGATGCACATGCAGAAGCCTGTTTGGGAAAGCATGGAGTCAAAAGTGGCAACTTTAAGTGTTGCTGGGGTGGACATAATATGTGTCTCTGTTGATGCTCACACATCACTATACTGTATTTGCAAACATTTATCCAATTTAAAACTGACTTCCTCAGCTTAGAGCATCTATCTCTCTCCCAATTCTGCTTGCTTATTCTCTGTACCACGTGCGCTGGAGATCTTTCTAGGCTTGTTGCTATGACAACAGCTGATAGTCTGGCTGTGGTGTTTTGATTGGCTGGGGAAGGTCTTGCCTCTTTTGTGAGGGTGAAAGGGAGGGGGCCACCAAAATAGGAGCAAGATGGAAAGAATCCAAAGCCGATCCATTTATGCGAGCAATGGGGGGGGGGAAGCGGGGAAGCAGTCCTCGGCAGCTTCAGATGATGAGGCAGTGAGCTTAACTGTGTGTCATTTACAATTGCATACATGAGCATGCGTACATGCAGGGCAAGCAGCACTTCATTTCTGTCCATGCTATTGACTGCTCTGACACTTTGACGTGCTTGGACTGCATTCCATTGGAGAAGCACTTCGTCCCTTCCTCTGACCCATACAGCAGAGAGCAGCATCAGATGAGCGGAATGCTACTGTTCTGTTCTGGGTAACAACAGATCACAGAGCAGTAGTCTGAATGAAGCATGTATGTGGATCGAGGTAGGTGATGCACCGTGCCCGGTATTGTACATGCATGACTTCTTGTGTTTAGGGATCTCCTTTGAATTATGTCTATATGTAATACATCTTCGTTTATTTGGGCACTGTGAAGAAAAACAGAGCCATGGAAATTGAGGTATGGAAGGGAGCACATGGGTCATTTGTTCTGACCAAGCCCATAGAAGAAAATCCTTTCCTAAAGTAGAGAAGAAGCTAGGCGTTTCTTTAAACCTTCAATGATGGAGAGGCATGACATGTTCTGTGATAGAGACTGGATGAGAGAAGGATATAGATGCATACCATGGGACTTAAATGTATTTATTTTATCCAGAAAAAAATATAGGCCACTTAATCATAAAGCTCTATAAGTGGTGTAAATAAGAATAATATAAAAAACCCACCATGCATAAGTATGAGTGTGAATAGTGTTCTACAATGCCGACCTAATGATGATTTTATATAAAGTCTACAACAACAATCTTAGGCTGTGCTGTCCTTATTCTTTTGCAGAAGTGCAGTGATTTTAGGCTGGTGAAGTTTTACTTTCAGTTCCTCATACCATTTTAATAACATTTAATTTCATAAACTAGCATAAACAGAATCTCAAAACAGACATATGCAGACTCCAGATATCACATATGAAAAGAATGGGGAGATGCAAGAGACTGAATGGAGAAGATAAATAAGGTTTGTGGATTTTTAAAGGAATTTGAATAACCCTATTTGGGGTCAATATAGTCCCAGTTCTACTGGGTATTGTTGATTTTTAATCTATGTGGCTGCTGTCTAAGCGCACTAAGGAATAAGTCCCAATTATGTCTCTGAGACTTCTGAGCAGAAGTGATTAGGCTTGTGGCAGTAAAGGAGAAGGATAAAAAAGGTGGATGGGATCTTTGCCTATCAAAGTGAATGCAACATTTACGAGCATCTGAGGATTCACTGGATATTTATTTATTAAAATTACTCATCATATGACTGGCTATTATATTCCACTCTGGTATGAGGTGTCAATGGCACCTGTTTCTTCCCTTTGCTTGAATCTCTCTCAGTAGATGCACTTTAAGGATGTCTTTTAAGGATTATGAGACGCACCATATGAAACCAAGGCCTATCCTTGCTAGTTTGGTTGAGTTGGCATGGGTTGGGTTAATTTCTAGTTGAGGCTGACGTATTTTTGTCTGGAAACTGATAGGGAAAAGAGATCCTACATTTTTCTTTTTGACCTGTTAAGAGTTGTTTGATGTGGTAGATTTTTGGATCCTACTAGATAGTTTCGGCAGCTATGGGAAAGCTGTGTGTTGGTTCTGTTCTTTCCTTTTTGTGCCTAGCCGTAGAGTAAATTTAGGGGATATCTGTTCCACACCATGGGAACTGATCCATGTTCCACCAGAACGGTTTAACATTTGTGAAACCACTGGGATTAGATTGTCCAAAGACTACATATGTGGCACCATTGTCATTAAGCTGAAGTTCCCCAGATCTATGTTGTTTAAGCATGCAAGAACAACTAACATTAGCAGCTGCATCTGGTATCCTGACTTTGTCACTTCTCAATAATAGGGAGCCTGCCATTTGTCATTTATACGTTTGTGACCTCTGTCATTTCATTTCTGTGTGCCCTTTTTGAAGACTCCTTCCTTGGACTATATTACTCATTTTTGCTGTAGTAATAAGGGGTAGGGAAAACAAGTTCTAGTCATGTGGCATCTCTTCCCTTCTCACCTCTGTTCATTTAAGATGCATCAGCAAAAGTAACCCAGAAGTTGCTTGCTGCCATCTGCTTTATGGAGTACACAGTTTTATATAACTTTATATATTTTTTTAAATATCTGCCACTGTTTTGCCTAATGGATTTGGCCTCTGTACAATTATGGCAATATGTTGCCAGAGTATGTGAAACAGGGCACTTTTGTGCCTGGTTTAAATAAAAAAATCTGCTGCCATGATCAGCTCTAAATGAAATTGGGGCATTACTTCTGAAGTCTAAATGAGAGATAGAAGTGCCCTCCCATATGAGAATATGCTTGTAACCAGAGGCATAGGAAGGGGGGGGTGCGGGCCGCCCCGGGTGTCACCGCTGAGGGGGGTGACATTCGGCGCTTTTCTCACCTGCCACTCCCAAGCCTACCCCAAGCCGTCGATGGGGGGGTGGGCGGTTTGACAAAAAAAAAATTCACACCGGGTACCACCTGACCTTGCTACGCCTCTGCTTGTAACTTCCTAGTTCTTATACCAAGGATCATTGCCCATGCTGCACCCCAAATTGCTGGATACTCTTTTTGCATGCTGCATATTCATGTAATGATGAGCTGAAAGTTATCCTGTGAAGTTATCCAGAAAGATTTGCCCCTAAAAATCATTGAAATGTCTTCACATGCATTGACCGATACACCCTTGAGACCCCAGGGAGAGAGCTGTACTTTGAAGAGCGACTCCTAATAACTCTAGCAGCTTATATTAACCAAATCCTGAAGTTCCAAAATAGAGTCAAAATAGGGACAGTGGATTGTGGATACCAGAAAAATAGGGACTATCTCTGGCAAAAAGGGACAGTTGGAATGTATGTGTAGCTCTGAAATGCTCCCATTGAGTTCTGTGGGACTAAATAAATGGACTGCAAGTATCTGAAATGTAGTTGAGAAGGTACAACATTTCCTCCTTTCTGGTATGGGGTTCTAATTGCCTCACCAGTCATGACCCTGAGCTCAAGCTTTTACTTCCTACCTTAATGGGAGCAGTGTTGCAGTACATCATCCCTGATGCAGAGTAGCTTAGCCTTCCACACCAAGGATCCCACAAGGAGAAGGACAGTAAAGCAGAATGCTTTTGATGCTTCTCCACATATCAGACACATATTTGAGAAGGGGAGACACTGTAGAGCCGTCCCTCCCCACCCCTCTGCTGCAACTTCTGCTTGGGAGGGCAGAGAAGGATCCTTGGAGCATCTTCTGTTTTAGAGGTCAGGACCAGATTTGGAAATATAGGTCTGGTCTCATCCTTGGCTCTCTCTGATGCTGCCGTAGTGGCTAGGGAGTGGCTGAATGGGGTTGAATAGGTAAGAGAGAGCAGTGGTGGAAAGTACTGAAATGCTCCTTCCTTCATCCATCAAATTTGAAGCATTGTTGGTTAGTTATTGTTTTATCTAGCAGCAGCATATTGGTTCACGGAGTAACCAAAAAGCAGGGGAAGAGGATTCATACAGTTTGCATTAGAAAAACAAAAAAGGGAGGAACAGAAAGATGGAAGGACAGCACAGAGTCGGAGGAGAGGACAAGGAATGATTGTGAGGAAATGCAATTATATATATTTTAAACATTTTGTTTCAGCTAGGGATGAAGACGGAGTGGTTAAGATAATAAAGAACCAAATTATGTGAGATAAAATGGGAAGGAATCAGTGGATTCACAAAATATGTCATTGCTATAGTCAATATTAGAAGCAAAGAATGATTGAATAATGAATTAAGGCCACCTCCAGACAGAGGATTTTTGAGTGCCATACAGGACTGTGTGTCTTCTCATGCAGATCACTGCAAGTCCACATGACAGGCTGGGATCTAACAGGGTCAGCAGTGGCTGCACGGTTGAAAACAATGACTGTGGTGCAACTATCCCACCCTACTTGGTACATCTTCTGTACTTCAGGGTCAGCAGTTTAGTGCTAACTTGTCAGTGGTGGCAGAAGCTGCCAACTGGATGCAGCCTGAGTGAAAAAAGGAAAGAAGCTGAAAAAAGCAGGAAATGGAGCTCATCTATATTGAATGGCTAGCGGGTCTAGGAAGTGGGAAAGTAGTGGAATATAGAGTTGAGGAAAATGTGTTATCAGTTGAGGTATGGCTGGAATAAAAGGGGGAGTGAAGTCAACAGTCTGGGACCAGTTAGTACCATTTGAAGGTGCCTTTGCCATCCAATCAACAACATAAGCCTTGTTATCTAGCCTCCCTGCTGTGTGCAAAATGATGTGTGGAAGCATGTGGCAAGGCTTTGTTTTAGGGGCTAGTTTTAGCTCTCAGTAGGGATCAGCTTCAGGTTATTGGTAGCTGCTGCATTGATCAAACTAGACTGAGTTCTGGATGAGGCAGATCAGGATCAGAGGGGCCAGAGTTTCCAGAGGAAGTCAGGGTTAGGTTGTAGGTTGAGTGGCAAAGGCACTAGGACTATGCACTGCTACTCATGGCAACACATAGATGAGAGTTAAGGAGCAAGGAGAAAGCAGGAGTTGGCCTGTGGGATCAGCTGACAACTCAGGTAGGCCGGTACTTCAACCTTGAGGTAAAGCCCAGTCTGGCAGGTTTACAGAGGAAACAGAACACAATGGAGCAGAAGGCTAGGTTCTAGATCATGACACTAAATTCCTAAAGATACCAACTTGACTACAGTGGTACCTCAGGTTACATACCCTTCAGGTTACATACGCTTCAGGTTACACACTCCGCTAACCCAGAAATAGTGCTTCAGTAAAAGGAGAAAGATTTATACGATGTTTTGATGTTTGTGGTCTGTTTTTGTGTTTTTTGTTGACTTTGTTGACTTTCGTTGTCTGTTAATTTTTTTGAAAAAATCCTAAATAAATATTATTAAAAAAAATAATCAGGTTAAGAACTTTGCTTCAGAATAAGAACAGAAATCCGGCTCCAGCGGCGCAGCGGCAGCAGGAGGCCCCATTAGCTAAAGTGGTGCTTCAGGTTAAGAACAGTTTCATGTTAAGAACGGACCTCTGAAATGAATTAAGTACTTAACCCGAGGTACCACTGTACTTCATAGCTTGACAAGCACCAAATATGTTACTTTGTAAACAGACATTTGGACTGGAGTACTGTTGTCATCGTCACCTATTTGTTGTTTTATACTATACTGTTAGTGTTTTTATTATTAGGTTATCATTGTTTCTATCTGGATGTTAGCTGCCTTGGATAAAATATTTTAATTTAAAAAATCCAAATACTGCCAAAAGAAAAAGGAAATATGTGCATATTGGCTTGCTTTATTATGATTTGTTATTCCTCAATTTTCTCTCTCAGGGGTATAGCACCTTTACAAGGCACTTCTTAACAAGCAATCTGAGAGAGGAAAAAATCAGTTGCTCAAGGTAAGCTATTGTGTGGATTTAGTAGACTTGCATTATTCTTTGGAATCATAGTATAATTATACTGCATTAAAAGAGACAATATATTAAAAGAGGCATGGATTAAAGGAGAAAGAAAAAAGTGGGGTATCAAAAGTTGCAATCAGCCTAGTGGGATAGCAGGGGCTAGAGAGCACATTAGGAATTTGAGAAAGTAAGTACAATGGGAACCAGTCACATAAGAGCTGTGTGGGGCCATAGCATAATACAAAATGGCTGCCACATCCAAAAGAGAGAGAGAAAAGACAGGGTCATAAAATTGTGTGGGCATGTTCCTGACCACCCTCCCATCCATGGAAGAAAGGCACCTTACATCAGCTACTGCTGCACTTGCTCACAGAGTGCACCTCTCCAATGTGGGCATTTTCTAAGGGTTCATGTTCAATGTAAGAAGGGCTGAACCAATGCAAATAGGAACTGAACAAGGAGGGCAAACCTTCTCATGCATTGTGGATTTTTGAGGAAATATTTACTGAGACCTTTTGTGGGTGTCATAGGAAATACGCTGGCACCCATGGCTGCTGCGCTAGTGTCTATATAAATCTATATATGTTTGACAGTGATTTTGATACTCATCAACCAATACCAACTGCATATGTTTACCTTTCTTTTTCTAGCAATCATGCCTCATTTCTTGGATTGGTTTGTGCCAATGTATCTGATGATCTCCATTCTTATCTTGGTGGGCTTTGGAGCTTGCATATACTACTTTGAGCCAGGACTTCAGGAAGCGCACAAGTGGCGGACACAAAGGCCAATCATGGAACGAGACCTTCGGAAAACACTGATGATACGAGACAACCTGGCATTTGGGGTGCCTGAAGTCTAGTATTCTTCTTGCATAGATGTGTTGGAAGTATCTAGAAGAAAGCCATCCCCACCTGAAGTTACAAATTACTGTGCACACTCTGGTTTGCTTAGCACTTCTGCAAGTGATGTGGTCAAACCACTCCTTGCTTGAGTCTCTGATAATGAAGTGTTCCTTTTTGCTATTTAGACAAGGCCTGTAGACTCATATCAACTTAGACCTTCTGGTTTTTGAATTTGTTCATCACCCCATCACTTGATATTTTTTATCCTCCATATATAAAGAGCTCTTGTTACCTTGCTAGGAGTGGTCACACCTGTACGTGAGCTTTAGACCTCTTAAGTATAAGAAAGCAATATTTCTGCATGACCTGTCTATTTTGGTCCAGTGCCTCCTGGACAAGTGCCCATCTCACAAACCTCACAACAGACACCATTTCATTACTTTATTTAGAGTCTCTTGGGTGAGGCAAAAACCCCAAATTGATTGCTCAGACTGAATTCTATTCTCATTCCCAACACTGAGCTCAGATATGCAGTAGGACTCATTACTAGCCAAGTTGTATATATTTTGATTTCAGATTGTTTCACTGCACACAAGCGCCTGTCTGGCTCTGAACACACTCAAATTTCACTTTTAAAAGTCTGTGCAGATTAATTACCGTTAAAGAATTGCTTTCATTTCTCCATGATTGGGGAATTTGTTTCTAGATGTTGGATCGTCTGCACTTCTCTATACTTAGAGGATCCAGAATGCTGTCATGCAAAAAGCTTGTATTTCACAATCCTCTGCTGCTGCAATCTTTTAAAGTGGTCTGATCAGGAGTCCCCTGTTTAGCACTGTACTTTCTAGATTGTCAGCCAGACTGAAAACTGTGAAATGCCATCACACAACCTACCTTTCTGCATCCACACCAAAAGCCACGGAGCTAGAGGCAGTCACACTGCAGTTCTAATTTCTATACGTTGCTTCTGGAGCTCCGTTGTGTGGGGTTATGCAGTAGATATGCTCTCTATCCACACAGTGTTTGCACTTTGATCCACACTTCCTTTAGGGATATATTACCAAAGTACTGTATGAAAACTTTAATGCATGTGAAAATGGGCAGGAACCTCTGCTAATCTAATAGTGTGCAGATTGCATACTGATAATATTGGCAGAATATAGGACCTATGACATGATGGGTATTCTCATAGCTGGTTTTACTGTACCTATATTATCTTTCACCTTCGTTTCAGGGCATCAGTTCTGACTGTAGAGTATGTTTCATTCCCTTGTTGACAGAGTATGTTGTGCTGTGTTAACACATCTGTTCCACTGTGAAGTACTAGTCTTGTGGACATCAGTTTCACCAGTATACATTTCATGTTAGGGACATGTGCCTTTGCTTCTCTACCGTACTCATATGTACATTCCATGTTAAGGTAGCACATACTGTTAATGTCTACATCATCCCCCGATTACAGAGACATGTCTATACATTGGATGCCCCATTGGAATGCATTCACTCCCACACCATAGTTTCGTAGAACATAGTTCTTCTCTACATTCCATACTTTCCTCGCCTGTCAAGTGCTGCCTTCTCATACACTTGGATACATTCCGTTGCTTCCATGATCTCATTCAGTGCCATAGTCCCTGACAACTGCACAGTACAGCAGGAACTTGGAATCTTGCTGGAAAGATGCTCGCTCCTTCATTGGATTTCCTCCCCAGTCTGCTCACAATGAAACCACACAGCCAGCCGGAGATCGCTCTCACTTGAAAATGTGTGGCATGCTTTGTCAGCAGCTGCTGAATTTGAGCATAGCACATTGCATAAGGTGGTATGTGATTTATTGTGAGTGGCTGCCTGAGGACGCTTCTAGTGTGAGTGAGGGTAGTTTCTAGCACAAGGTGGGGGTAAGTGTTTTGGTACAGCTGTGTGGAGCTAGTCTCAAAGCAGGTGTAAAAACCAGACTAGGTCTCATTACCTGCATCACAAATGCCCACAGAACTTGTCTTGCTTCAAATATACAGAACAGGGTGAGATTCCTGCATTGCAAGGGGTTGGACTAGAGGACCCCTGGGGTTCCTTCCAACTCTATGATTCTGTGAGGAAGAGGCGCCATTTCCTAGGTGCCCAAAACAGCAGAGCAGCTTTCTGGTGTGGGGTCATGTGTGTTTAGAGCATGGATCTTGGCTAGGTATATGCCATTTTAAGCATTCTAATGTTTTAAATTGGCTGCCCCTCTCCAGGGACCCTTGCACAGAGCAATAAGCTGCATCTGGGCCAGTCTTTCCATTAGGCAGAGTGAGTTGGTTGCCTCAGAAAGCAACTTTTGGATGCCCTACCAGGGTGGCAAATTGCTTGTTTATATTGTGTCTGTATGTGTTGAGTTTGTAAGGCACCCAAATGTCTTGGTCAGCTGTGAGCAGCATGCTCCAGTGTGCAAAGATCAGATGGCACAGACAGAGCTAACCATCCATTTAGCAAGTGGTGATGCGCATTATCCTGATCCAACATGTAACATGTGTCTGTGGAAGGGCTACAGATTATTTTTAACCCTGCACAGTCAACCCCTCCTTGGAGTCCTCCGTGGACGAATGCAGAAAGCGACCTGCACACACAAACCTACTTCTGTGTGCACAGATTGCCTTTGCTGGATTGGAGCAATTATATTTTTGTTTGAGGGCATGAGACTAGGAAAAAGGCAGCACCATAACATTCCCAAGTTGTTCTGCTCTAAATGGGCACTTTCCTGTATCCATGACCCATTTGTTACTACATATATCTACTATAGCCATAGTCTCTGAGTTTCACTTGGAGACCTGTTTTCTGAGCCTTGATTTCATTTGTGAAGACTAGGCTACCAATGCAAATGAACGGACCCCAGGCTGAGCAATGGGGGTAGCAATAAGTATCCTATCTGGGGCCAGGAGTTTTAAAGACTTTGTGGACAGGCTGCATTATCCATTGACGGCTAATACATAGTGGGTGGAGGGTTCTGTGGAACTTATCATGACACACTTTTTTGAACTTAGCCACATAATCTTTGTCCTTCCCAAGTTTCTTTTCTCAGGGTTGCCTCACATGATAAGGAGAAAACGAGTTGCATCTTCAGTGAATCAGCCACATGGCGCTGCCTGCTGCAAATATGCTTTTCATATTATGTCAGGTATCTCTCAGTGTAAGATAATCTCCGTTAGGAAGTGACTCAGTGACCACACAAGCTTTTTGTAGGTATATTGATTTCAATGGAACTGCAGAATGTGAGTGCAAATAGTCGTTGAGTAATACCCTTGATATTGAGAAGTGCTGAAAGGAAACAATTTTTTCTCTTTCCTGTTCAAAATTAAAATTACTGGGCACAGGAACCTGGGTATATAGTTTAAATCCTCGCCCTCCAGAAGTGGTTGGGAGTGAGACCAGCTACCCAGGTTCATGTGTCCAGTAATTTTAATTTTGAACAGAAAAGATAAAAATTAACTCCAGCCACAGAGACTGATCAATCATCAGCCCAAACTGATTCACATTGAGTGCTATTGAGTGAGAGCTCAGTGGAAGTTTCTCACACTTTTCTATTCCTATCCTTGAGGACAATTGAGGAACTGCATTTGCTACCAGCATGAAATCCACAGTATGTTTTCTGTTTCACGAGCAAAAAACATTTTCGAAAAGCCAACTATATAAACAAAAACAAGTCACTGAGTTTTGTGCCAAAATCTGGGAGTTAGGATAAATGGTTAGAATTATCCCACCTAACTTAGACCGAAGGGGCATCAGCCTATATTTGTGCTTGACTTTGATTAAATAGTAACCACATATACTGTTTTCTTCAGTGACAACCAATAATTATTTTTAAATGGGGGAAATCAGAATTAGAAGAACCAATGGCCTGTCTACATTCTGTGTGAATCCCTGGCCTCTTCTCTTGCTTTGTACTGTTTTGTGTGCCAAGTCTTCAATGGTCTTATCTATCCAATTCTGTATCTTACTCCATAGGGCTACCTACCTGCAAATGAACAAGAAGTAAAAATATTTTTGTTCGTAATGTCTGTTTTGATAATGGAGCAATCTCATAAGAGAACTGTGGTGTTTTGGGGATTTGTTGAGAGTTTGTCACTTTTTGTGCTGTTCCTAAACCTACCAGTTTGCCTGTGAAATCTTCAGAATGTACCTAATTGTTATGATAATCTCATGTGTGAATGTTCTGTTTCAGTGGTGGATTTTTATGCCCATGTGATCTTTTCTTGGATCATGTGCTTTACATGATTGGGCTTTTGTGAGACAGTATGTATTTTCCATTATTGGAGCCAACATTTCAGCAGGGTTTGAATCTGATTACCGTATTTATCACTCTATAAGACGCACCAGACCATAAGACGCACCTAGTTTTTGGAGAAGGAAAACAAGAAAAAAAATATTCTGAATCCCAGAAGCCAGAACAGCAAGAGGGATCGCTGCACAGCGAAAGCAGTGATCCCTCTTGCTGTTCTGGCTTCTGGGATAGCTGCTCCCCCTGCATTCACTCCATAAGACGCACACACATTTCCCCTTACTTTTTAGGAGGGAAAAAGTGAGTCTTATAGAGCAAAAAATACGGTAATTAGAATTAAATATCAAATTTCAATCTGCTCAGAATTTAGAAATGTTAAACTGTTATTTTTATTTGTAACTCTTTGAGGTGAGAAAGCAGAACTAAAGAAAGTTGAAAAGTTACTCAGTGCTCTGGAACATTCAGTTTACCTAGTTTTGAAGTTCAAAGTTGTGAAAGTCAAAGACTAATCCTAAACAGACTCATTAAGAAGTCTCATTAAAAACAGTAGGAACTAATTTTCTGAGCAAACATGCATAGAATTTCTCTGACATTTGGAGCAATTTCAAATGTGTTATGAATCTAATTTAACTGGACATTTGTTTATTTTTATATTTCAGATTTGTTCTGGTTCTTACTATTGTATTAACTTGTAACATTTGGAAATAGAACAGCTTAATGGTTCAGAAATCAAAACACACATGAGAATTGTGTTTGAAAAACAACATGGAGTTTGGAAACTTGAGTCATAAATTGTTGTGCCTTGGATTATCATGGCTATTTTGGACATTTCTCCTAATCCAGAGCCACCAATTAGTGTGCAGAAGGTGGTTTCCTCTCTGTGGAAGTAGGTAAACCTGCAAGTTGCCCATGGAACCTGGACAGCTATGGGGAGCACCCAGCTGTCATGTCACCTGCCACAACTAGATGGATACTGAGAGAGACTTCTCAGGAGCTCCTCACAATAGAGACTTGTTTTGGGTAATGTATGAGGAGTGCTCAGTCTGAATCTGGGATGCCTTATGCCCAGCAACTCTACCCCCTGAGAACTAATAGAAGCTAGAAGAGGCATGTAACTCTCCAGACATGAATACTCTGTGAAGATCAATGAAGCTACATGTCTTCTGCTATACCCACTAATTCTCTGCATTGGGGCTGTTAGGTTTTGTTGTCAGCATATGTGGGTAAATTTATTGTGTATATTGTAAAGCACAAAGCAGACTCTCCAGCAGGTTTAGGAAATTTAAAACTGCAGTAATGCCTCTGAGGTATATACTGAAGTTAATAAGAGGTCCTACTACACTGACCCTGATACAGAGAACTGCAAGCAAATTAGAAGGCTGCAGAGCCAACTACGTTGCTTGTAATGCTTATATGGTGACTGGAGTTCCCCACTGGGCAATTTTTTTCCCACAGCTCCAGTTCTGCTCCCTGATGATACTTAATACGGGCAGGGGGTGAATAAGCTGTGACCTTGTTTTCCACTACAAATACCTATTTCTCCTGAACCACAAAATTTTCTTCCATTATGATAGATCCATCCTGTGAATTTAACTCATTTGCCTCAGAGCTAAGGGAAAACAAAAAGTAACCTCATCCCTGTCTGATGTTGTGCAAAGTATGTTCTCAGCTTGATTTTTGCACTGTTTGGTCATAGATGCTCCTGATGATTTCATGTTAATTGTTATATAGTGTTGTATTATGAAAAAAAATTGAAATTCTAATAAACTATGTGGAGTCAATCAAGAGCATGGTGTTTTGTTGACATTGATGCATGTATGTTAATGTTTTTAACAAGCAGTCTACACAACTGCAGTGGGGCTTAGGTTTTTGTTTTGTTTTGTTTTGTTTTGTTTTTTGATACACAGAACAAGTGATACAAATTGGCTCAAACCAGTTTGCTACTCGCACAATTGTGTCATCAGTTGCTTACCACAAGGCACACCTTCTGGAGAACATAGCAGCCAGGGTGATATTCTTCAAGAAACTGCCACAGGCCCAGTTCTGATCAAGAGTAAATCCCACATTGGATCCTGTGACTGCTTTGTTTTTCTTTCTTTAAAATACAAATGGTTATTGTAACATGGTTTGGCCCTGTGCAGATTTTTCTCTCACAACTGGCCTATTGTTTTGCAAGTGCTTAGTCCACCAGGGTGTGCCGCTTTTTGAAGAAATGGAAGTGCTATATAAAACAAAATGGTGACATGACCATATCTGTACACATTCATACATTTTAAGATTCCGTGAAAGGACAATGGATTGCTTATATCTGATTGACTGTGAATTCTCATCTTCAGTACCTGAAAACCCACTTGTGACATGAAAATACACATTTCCAGATATATTTTTAAATGACCGGAAGGAAATGAAATTACTAATATCTTGTCTCAGTTCCCAAATGGTGAATTCTGGATACTCTGTGTTTGTTCTGCTCAGGGCTGCCCCAAGGCTCATTTTGCTGACTGAGGCAAAGGACAAGATGGCAATCCCTATAATAATAATAATAATAATTTTATTATTATTTATACCCCAGCCATCTGGCTGGGCTTCCCCAGCCACTCTGGGTGGCTTCCAACAAAATATTAAAATACCGTAATACATCAAACATTAAAAGCTTCCCTAAACAGGGCTGCCTTCAGATATCTTATAAAAGTCTGGTAGTTGTTGTTCTCTTTGACATCTGGGGGAGGGCATTCCACAGGGAGGGCGCCACTACCGAGAAGGCCCTCTGCCTGGTTCCCTGTAACTTGGCATGTACGAAAGCTGATCTGGTTGGCAACTGAATGTTCCAGTACTGGTGGTGATGGGTCTTTCACTGCACTTGAAGGCAGTAGGGCAACTTAGGGCAAACCATGCAGCACACACAACTATATTCTTCCAACAACTGACTGCTGCTTTTTGCCACACACACCCACACCCAAGCAGTTGCTGCCTGAAGCAGCTGCTTCAGTTGGATAGCTATGCTATTGCTACTAAAGTAGAATGGAGCACAGATCTTAAGATGTCTTCATTTCTTAAAAGTGGTTTCCAGGCATTTTACATGCAAGTGTTAGAAAAACGCTCTTGGGGAGACGGCGACCACCCAGGAACTCTAAGCATCTCCCGGTAGGCACGTCTCTGGAATGGTATGTCCCTTCAACTCCACTTTTCTTATGAAAAGTGCACACAAGTCTTCTAGCATCATACAGCAAGAAGAAAGAAACATCTGTAAATCTAAACTACATTTTATTTACATTCTATACAGACAATCCATAATCACGTCTGTGTTCTCCAAGCTCTGGCAGAACAACTGTTGCGTATTGCAAAAGTGAAAGTACAGTAGAAAAACACGCTCAGACAGAAGAGATAAGACAGTCTTCTGTTCCCACACTCTTCTCAGACATCTCATGTGATTTATACTAATCACACTAGCAGTATCGGTTGCATAAAATCCCAACAGAAAGAGCCACCTAGCAATATGTTCATGTACCTATCCCAGCATTTCGATGCACATAGTAGGGATTTTCAGACTTCCTTTTCTGATTCTAAGCTCTTTGCTCTATGACGGAGGTTGCTCTATGGGACCCCATGACTTTTTGAAGTGAGATGTTGCAGTGGGAATTGGACTTCAGAGGTCACACTACACCCTTGGAAGTTGGACTGGCAGGTATTTGAGCCCATTCCCTATTGTATACTGAAAATCTGAACACTATGGAAGCAAGTTGTGACCACAAAAACAGATAATTATAACACTTGCAAAAATGTGTTTTCCATTGTACAAAATATGCATTTTTCAAATTAACATCTAAAAAAAAATTGGCAGAGCATGGTCCCAAGAAGAGGTGTTTTGTGAACATACCAAAACCTCCTTCCTTACTTTACTTGTTTACGTTAACCAATATTCCACTGTCAAATTTGAGAAGGTATGCAATCTGTTCAGTGTTATTGTTCAAAAACCTTTTGAACATCACTCCTGATGCTTCTACCAAGATGCTTCTACTGAAAGATATTCTGTGCTGCATGGTGCAACCAAAATAAACGAATTCCAGTCTTGCCATCTCATTACAGTACTGCTGTTGGCATCTTGATAGCCTGGTAGACCTTTAAATAGCACGGCTGTGGAAATATCACCTATAATTAAGAAATGTATGCATCTTTGGTTTACACCATTTATGTAGACTTGTCTGGGGATGACAGGGTTAGCGTGGCAAGAATGTGGGAGGGTCAAATGTCTGGTATGGAAATAATGTTAGGATTCCAGGCCCTTCAAGCTTTCCACAAAAAGCTTATTGTTCTACCTCCTCCAACTTTTATGCTTCATAAACAAACACTAGATGGAGATGGCAGTGGGCATGGTGATGACTGGGTAGATATGTTCTTTACATGTATGACTCTAAGTAGGTCACAGGTAATGATTCAAGAAACTCAAAAGATGCAAAATAGTGAAAATTAAACCACTATGAGTTGGAACGTGAAGTGAGAAACCAAGCCAAAGAGGTCCAGAAAGGTGCTGTAGAACTATGTTTAAGAAGACTTTTACATGCATTTATAAGGTTGCTGCACTGCATCACTATGATCAGAGGCAGTAGCAACAGGAAGTATTGAAGAGGAACTTCCTCTTGAGGGAACCTCCTCCTGTTGCTCTTCTAGTGCAATTGTAACCCTGCCTCCTTTGGTGGCCTTGCCCTTCCTTCTAGACCAGAAGTAACTGACCAGGGATCAAAGACTGAATAACTATGTCTACATATAGACACCAGCATAAGAGCATTCATGTTCTGTTAACCCCCTGGCCTATCAAGATTGTTTGGGGCTGTTAAAATAAAAAAAAGAAATGGGAATATGAGAGAAATCAACTTTGACAGGTTTATCCATCCCTACGTCTCATAGATCTGGGTGATTTTTTCACAGCTCCAAACTTCTACAGGGTTGTGGGGGTTTGGGGGGGGATACCTTTTAAGAATAAATCCAGTTTATACTTCCATAGGTGAGAGATCCAAGTAAAACTGATTCTATTGTATGTTCAATTTGCCATATTTCAACATAAAGTTCCTTCATATAGTCAATAGGAAGCATATTTTGGGTGATGATCTCTTGTCAACACAGCTTATCAGCTCTGTCC